AAATAAGAACCAAGAGAGATTATGTAAAGGTGCAAATTTCCAATGATGAATGTCATTATATTGTATACCTAAAATGTACCAATAAATATAATCACCTGAAAAAAAAAAAGAAAAACACAATTAACACAGGTTCCATAGGTTCATCACCTCTGCTCTAGACATTTCCCCCATACAATCTACAGCCCAGCAACACTCAGCATAATATGACTTGTATTTTAACGCATCCAAGCTTTTGCACATCTATGTCCCCTGCCTGGTTTACCCTGTCCAGATTCCCACTCCCTTCAACTATCTGCTCATTGTTGCCTCAGAAAAGTTAGCTCTTTTAGCCTTCCTTTGGCAGACTTAGAGGACTTTCTCTTGTGCCTCATGTTTCCTTCCATCACGTTAGGTGGTAGCAGAGCTGTCTCCCTCACTGGTCTGTGAGCACTTCAAAGAAAAGAACTATATTTTCATCTCTTTGTACCTTAATGCCCTGCATAATGTCCTGGCATAAAGTAAGCACACAATAAGTAGTATGGCCTAGGCATAAGTGCTGTGTAAAATGAATATGTAAGCACAGGCAATACAAACACAAGGTATATCTAATGCCTGCTGGACGTATAAACCTTTTTATGTATTCATCCAATAAATAATATTCTATCTATTATAAAATAGGGTCTCAGTTATCATGGAATTAAAAATCTAGGGCTGGGGATTTAGCTCAGTGGTTCCACCGCCTGCCTCGCAAGCGGAAGGACCCGAGTTCGATCCCTGGTACCAAAAAAAAAAAAAGAAAAGAAAAAGAAACAGGCTGCCAAGACAATACCAAAAGGGATCCACTTTGGATGAGGCAAATCCAAAGACCTTGAGAAAGCAATGGGAGTTAGAATGTCGTTCTAGGTAATGAACAGAGACTGGCTGGTATGAGTCAGTTGATAAGGTTAGAATTAGACACAGGTTAACCAGGGCTTTGCAGGTCACAAGATTTTGGTCTCTGTTTTCAAAATACACACTGAAGGTAACAAGTGTAGAACACTTTAGTAACCAACTATAGAAATGACCCCTGAAAGTATAGCCTTAAGTGTAGAACCTTTTAGGAGGTTGCTGTAGTATCCAAAGATAATGGCTGCGGCTGCGTTGGCGAGTCGTGTAAAGAATCCAAGAATTCGTTAAGAGGCAAAAAAGCTACAACTTGATGGACTGATGTGGGGATGAGGGACAGAGTTGCACACGATAATTTCCCCATTTCTAGCTTGGCCCACGGGACGTACGGACGTGTTAAGCGCCTCGCGTTCAGGTCTGGGGCAGACCCCGAGCTTCCTCGGAGGTCTGGAGCCAGGGAACTTGGACTGCAGTGCCCACCCCTCCCGGAACCGTCCGCTCACCTCGGCTTCCCCGAGAACGGCGGCCGCACCTTCCCCAGCGGCTTCCTCTGGAGATTCTCTCAGCAGCCTCTTGCTGACCAGTTGCTGCTCCCTCCGCGCCTTCCGCAGTGCTGTGGACAGCGCACCCCGATCGGTGTCGGGCAGGCGCCAAAGACCCAGAACTCACAGCTTTGAGCTCGGCGTCTCCTTTCCCCACCTCCGACCGCCCGATTTCCCGGTGGTCCCTCCCTGACCGTACCGGCCTCCTGCTCCCGCCGGCGGCACCGCAGCTCCTCCACCCCGCAGGCCACCCGTCTGAGGTGGCTTTGCCGCCGACTCCACATGGTAAAGATGGAAAAAATTGGTAGGGAACTCTAGCGCCGAAACGACGCCCGAACGCGCGGAAAACCGCAGGACGCAGAAAACGGCAGGAAGAGCGCAGCCGCAGCCCGAGGGGCGGGGCGCGGCGTGCAGTGTGGTTGGAGCGCAGCACGGCGAGGGGAGGGGCGGGGCAGGACAGGGAGGGGAGGGGGAGGA